CCCGGAGCCCACCCCCCCTAAAGCAAAAACCCCCAAAAAAAAAAAAAAAAAAAAAGAAAGAAAGAAAAGTATAGCTGAGCAAGAAAATGTCAACTCAGTACACCCAGTGGACTGGAAAGAACACATCAGGTTTCAACCACGTCACCACCACCACCTAGTGGCAGTCTGTGAACATCACAGGAGCAGAAATGAGACAGGCAGCTTCTTGGCGCGTCCGCTGGGCCACGCAAGGCCAGGAGTCACTGGTGGGAGAAGGTATTAGTATTCCCAGTGATCTGTTCCCCTGTCCTTTAGCAGTTCTGCTGGTCACCCAGCCACCTCACTGAGATGACATTTCCCAGCCTCCCTTGCAGGGGAGGCAAGTGTGGCTACAGGACTGGAGATCTGGGCCAGTGCAAGTGGGTGTGGTTTGTGCATCACCCTGAGCAGGGCCCTGAAAGGGAGAGGCGTGGCCTCCTCCTCTCTCTCCACCCCTTCCCGTGCACCGGAATCAGCACGTGATGGCGAGCCAGCTCTAACCCTGCAGAGGGGAGACACATGGCGGGACGGCAGGCCCTGACACCGAGTCACCATCCAGCCTAACCCCCATCCTCTGGGCTATGATGTGAGAAAGAAACTTGTGTCTGGTTCTGCCCCTCGGACCTGTCACAGCAGCTTCATCCGTGCGCTATGGGTGGGAAACACGCCCGCTTGGGGCACAGAAAGGGCCTGGTGAGAGAGCGAGGCTGGGCGAGCCCAGGACCCCCTGCAGGGACACAGCTGCAGGCACAGGTCCCTTTGGTCAGCTGCCCATCAGGGGCACCTGAGCCAGCCAGGCAGTGTGGAGAACAGGTGAATGCGAAAGAGGGGCAACGCACTGTCTGCAACTCCTAGTCTGGCTCAGCAGACAGAACCCAATACACACACGGGGAGGAGCTTTCACAGTGACGTGACCGAGACGTGTAAAATGAAATGGTGTGAAGATCTGGAAGCACCACTGAGAAGCGGTTCTTCCTTTGGCCTCTGAGCACAAGTTTCTCTCTTTTCTCTCAAGGGTCACCTCCTCCAAGAAGTCTTCCTTGACGTCCCCAGGCATTGATTTGCTTTGTGATCACATGGCACCCCTAAGTATCTGTTTACTGGCCAAACTGGGGCCCCTCGGCAGGAACAGCATCTTATCTTTGGCCCCTGTGGCCTCTAGTATGATATCTGGTGCATCGGAGACTCAAGAGGTGTTTGTGGAATGGGAGCGGTAGGTGGCGTGGTGGCTGAGGGTGCTGGACTCCCGCATGGCCAACCGTGGTTCGAGTCCTGGGCCTGGCGGTTTGCTTTCTCACTTTCCCTCTCTCTCTCTTACTCTGTCCCTCTCTGGTCAAAATTTAAAATAAACGCACAAATAAAGTCAAATGAAAAAATAATTTAAAAAATAATAAAAGGAATGCATGAGCCAGGACGAAAGGAAGCCAAGCCAGGGAAGGTAGACGGGAGCACCGTCCAGGGAGAGTGAGTTCTGAGCTCGGGTGTCCAGGATGTGGACAAGGCTGCTCTGAACGCTCCTTCATGGAGGTGGGGCGCCAGCAGTGTCGGGGGGAGTGGGAGGATCTGGGCGGGAGGGTCTGAGTGAGGGGCGGGGGCGCCCTCTCCTGGCCTGACTCCGCTCGGCTCCCAGCCCTGCCTCCAGCCTCACCTCCTTCATGGTGTCGATGGAGGCGAAGTACTTGGACCACCAGTCCAGCATGCTCTCGTCCGGCTCCTCCTCGTCCGGCTCCTCCGCCGTGCCCTTCTTTTTCTTCTTCTTCTTCTCCTTCTCCTCCTCAGCCTGCAGGTTGGCCAGGTCTCGAGTCCTGTGTGCGCCCCTGCACCCTGGCCCTCCATGGGCCCCCTGCCCATTCTGTCAGGAAGCCCGGGCCCCGGGAGGCTGGGTGGAGCCACCAGTGCCAAAGGGACAGGGCCTTGTCTTGTGAGGACGGTGCCCAGAGAGGCTCACGGGTGCCAGCACGGGCCACTGGCCGAGGCAGGGTTGGCACTAGGGGCCTGCTGCCCTCCAGCTCTCTCCTTCCGCCTCTTTGGAGGGTGAGCTGGCCCGTGCAGCCGGGGTGGGGGGGGGGCTCTGTCCCTGACTGGCCCTTGGCTGACACTGCTGCCCATGGAGGGCCCTGGTGCCCTGGGGCCCTGCGTGACTCCACACTCACCACATCCACCTTGATGACGGCATCGGACGTCTGCAGAGGGAGACGAAGGAGATGGGCAGGATTAGCCACACGGGCGTGGAGGAGACAGGGACACGAAGGAGGGCCCCGGGATGGACGGCATGGGGTGCTGCGAGCCCCAGTGCCCACGGGCCGACCGCGCGCTGCCGAGAGCACGCTGCCAGTGGGGCTGTCTCTAGGGTCTTTCTCGGACCCCGCAGAGCAGTGGCTCCCAGCCCTGGTGGCGCATCAGAACCACCCTGGAGCTTGTATGAGTGGTCAGTGCTGGGGCCACACTGGCCGCAGGGGTGCTGCACACGGGCACATCCTTAGACTCCAGGTGACTGTGTGGGAGTCAGGGGTGGAGGCCTCAGCAAGGTCGGCCAGCCAGGTCGGCTTCAGCTCCGCCTTCCCCTCCCCAGGCAGGTGCTGTCACGATTACGAGGCACGCACAGCCACAAAGCCGTGAAGGACAGATGCCATCTGAATGCCCGCCAGAGCCCAAGGCTCCGGGACCATGGGGAAGCTTGGGCTGGTGCCATCTTTTCTCTGGTGCTGCTGATAGCCTCAGACTGGGGGCATTCTGTCCTCTCAAAAAGGAACAGGCTGGGCAGGGAGCGGCTCAGAAGGCTGGGAGCGAGGGCGACTCGGGCTCCAACTGCAGCCCTGCGTAGTGAGCTTTCCTGGCTGAGCCATCCCAAGGCTTGCACGCCTGGCCTCTTCTGCTCTCCTGTCCCACGACCCATGGCCAGTGCCAGCTCTGCCTGCTGGCTGGACCCTCTGGGGTTAAGGATTACAGTCAAGGAGAGGTCGTTTCAGACCACACTCAGCCTCAGCAGCTGGGAGATGCCCGGCTGCACGAAGCATGTGAGCTCAAGGATGGGATGCCAAGGATGTGGAGCAGGATGCCACGCCCAGCCCTTCATCAGAGTCTGGACCTCAGGGTGGCCTGCTCCAGGCTGGCCTCCCTCGTGCCTCCCCTGCAGTCTCCAGCCTAGGCCTCCTCCACATCCAACCCCCAGGTGGACGGTGTCCCTCTGGCAGATAAAGGCCCTGGTCCAGAAGCCCAGAGGAGTAAGGAGTCTCCACCTAGAAATCCTTCCCCCACCCAGGCCTGGGAGCGCCGTCTGTGAATGTCTGGGGTGGGAACCAGGGACCCTGGAAAGGACACGGCGTTCTCCGAGGAATCCGTCGTCATGGAGTTTACGGGAGACATTACCTCCCTCTCTTGAAGCTCTCCAGTCTCTTATACATACACACCACATGCTTGTGCATGCTCACACTTACACACATCACGTGTATGCACACACACGTGTGTGCCTCCTGGACAGTGTTCTGATGGAGCCGTTTGCACACACAAGCAGGCGAGCCCGTGACACTGGCACACCGGAGGAGGGCGCCCATGCTGTCCTCTCACAGGCCTGGGCCGCGCGTGGCCGTGTTGCACACGGTCGTGCACTCCGCCTTACCGCGTCCAGCTTCACCATGGTCTCCAGCTTCTTGACGGGCACTTCTGGCTCCATGTTCACCACGACCTCACCTGTGAGGTGAGAGGAGGGGACCCCATTGCAAAGCACACGGCAGCCCCGGAGAAGCCTGCCTGGACAGAGAGACAGACAGACAGACAGACAGGCAGAGGGAAGAGCAGGAGGAACAGTGAGTTTGAGTGGCAGGAAGGGGCCGAGGCCTGGAGCTGATTCTGGAGCTTTCTGAAGGGAGAGGAGGGACAGGACAGTCGAGGGAGAAAAGAAGGAACACAACGGGGAAGGTGAACTAGAGAGCCCGAGGCCCTGCTGTGCAGGCTGGGCCAGGAGGAGGCTGCAGGGAGGCCCGGTCTCCGTGGGTGGGTGGAGCAGGCCTGGGCTGGGGGCCGTACCCATGGTGTTCCAGCTGGCAGCCGAGCGGTCTGGGGGCCGGTAGATGAAGCGCCGCAGGGAGCTGACGGCGTGGGAGCCCACCAACGTGTAGCGGCCAAAGGCCCGGCAGTCCACCACGCGGATGTTGAGGGGCGGGTGCAGGAGCTCATTCTCTGGGAGGTCCTGGGGTGGGGGGACGTGGAGCCTGAACCTCAGAGCCGGGGGCAGCAGAGCCCGGCCGAGCCGAACCACGCCTGCTACCCCCTGGGCCTGCACCCACCACTTCAAACCACTTGACAAGGGTGCTGAAGTTGGGGTTCTTCTTGTAGTTGTGGATCAAGGACGACTGTACGCCCTTCCCTGCACACTCGATGTCTACCCGCGGCCGGTCCACCTGGGCCAGGTTCACCCGCTTCAGGTCCCGCAGGCCCCAGAACAGCACCTGGTTGGGGGTGGGGGACAGCCCCTCAGTCAGGGTGCCAGCTGCGGGTGGGCTGGGCCACCTGGGAGGAGATCAGGCTGGGGGTGGGCGTGAGTCAAGGGATGAGTTTCAGAGGTGGGGCCAGGGCTAGGGAGACGATGAGGGGGTGTCTCCAAGGGAGCGAGGAGGGGTGCAGGGTGAGGTTGGGCACAGAGGGAAAACAGGGAGGGGGCTGGGAACGGTCCTGGAGCGTGGTGGCGTGACTCGGTGCAGACAGGGGTGCGTACTGGATGGGGGTTAGGAGCCTCGGTCACTGCTGGCTCTGGGGGTGCCTTGGGCAGGTCACTTCCCCTCCAAGACTCTTAGTCTCCTTACGTGAAAAACGAGGAGTGGGTGAGGAAGCCCAAGACCTGCCGAGTCTACCCCCCAACGGTGACAGGTACAAATGCCCCTGATGGGCAGAAAGGGAGAGGGACAAGGAAGCCAGGGTGGAGGAGCCAGTGGAGGCCTTAAGGACAGGGACAGGGAGGCCTGCGGGGCCCACGTACCTCCACTCGGTACTTGCTGAGCACGGGCCGGATGCCCACGGGCACAGGCATGATGGGACCTCGGTCCATGTCCACTGGGCCATTGATAGGGGGAAGGTCAGCCTTCCCTGCTGGCCCAATCTAGGGGTATGGGTCATGGTCACACACTGGGGAGCCTCGGAAGAGGGGAGCCCTCCCCATATATTTCCCATGAGACCTGGGGAGACAGGGAAGACCGAGCAGCCCAGACTCCCTGAGAACCACAGCCCCACCTGCAGTCTGGCCTCGCAGCAGGGTGGGAAGGGCAGTGACCCCTCCGGCCCGCTCTGCTCCCCGCGGCCTCACCTGCAGCAGCTCGAAGGCAGCCAGCAGGTCTCCAGCTGTGGCGTTGCCGCGGTAGATCTGGTAGTACTCGAGCTGGGGCGGAAAGCGGGGTGCGCAGTACGCCTCCTCCGCCATCTTCACCAGGGGCTTGGCGAAGGTCCGGCCCATGAAGTCGGCTTTGCCCTGACATGAAACCACCGGGATGGCCTGTCGGCATTTGCTGGTAACCAAACATGTCGGTCCTCACTACAGCCTGAGATGTTGTCAGCGGCAGATGCGATCATCCCGTTTTACAGATGGGGAAAACCAAGGCCCCAGCACCACCGGACTCCTTCAAGGCCAGGCAGTCAGTGAACAGCAGATGCAGGACTCAGACTAGAAATAAGTCCTCCTTCCTCTAGTCCAGAGCTGCCCTGGGCACCTCAACAGCTGAGGTGGCTTGTAGGAAGGTGGCTCCCCACTTCTTGAGGAGTCACCCTAATCTTTCATGCCCCACTGCAGAGCCTTCCATGGGGAGCTGTGAGGGTTATTGACTGCTGTAGGTGCGGGTGGAGGATCAGGGTTCCCTGGGTTGGGGAGGTGGGGACGGCAGGACTTGGTCGGGCCTGGATCCAGAGGACCCCCGTGTTGGGAAGGGCGTCAGCTGGGGTTAGGCTGGAGCGAGTAAGCAGCCGGCACCTGGAGGGACTGGCCAGCGGCCCAGACTCCCAGCTCACCAGCAAGACCTGCCCAGGAGCTCTGGGGGTGGGTCGGGCTGTGGCCGGGAGTAGTGCAGATGGTGGGGTGCAGGGAACTGTAGCTGCTGGGGGTCCCTGGTGGCAGAGCCCACCCATACCATGGTGTCCTGGTCGTAGATCTCGATGACAATGATGGGGGGGTCATCCCGCAGCTCATGAGCCTCGCCGTAAAGCTCTAGGTTGTCGAACACCAGCATCTGGTCCCAGGTGGGACACAGGGTTTCGTTCAGCACCTACGGTGTGGGGGTGGGGTCAGGTAACGAGCGGGGTGGGTGGGCAGTGCACAACAAGCAGGACCCACCCGGTCTCTGCAGCTTCCAGGGACCCAGGGCCAGAGCGTCGAGTGCCCTGCCTCTTCTGGAGATCTTGAAATCAAGGCGACCATGCAGTCTGCTCCTGGGCCCCCCCGTCTTGTGAATGTGACCCCAGTTAGAGCTTTTACCAGAGGGACCTGGCCTAAGGCAGGGCCCCTGGCGGCCTTTTCTGGAGCCCCTCCAACTCACAGGCCTCAGTGCTTCCAAGCCAGAGCCACCCCCTCCCCAGGCCCTCACCTCTGTGCACTGGCTCTGGTTGATGAAGAAGACGCGGGCGAAGGGGTCGGAGAGGCCGCTGCTGTCGGCGGCGAAGAGGCTGCGGGCCTGGTACATGTGTGCTCGGAGTTGGAAGGCCTGCTTCTCTGCGGGGGACAACCGGCTGAGGCTCGGGGAGCGGGAGCCCTGCAGCTGCTCCCAGGGTGAGGGCCGGGAGTGAGGGGCCTGCCCAGGTAGAGGCATCCTCACTCACTAGTGTAGACCAGGCTGATGGGCGGGAAGGAGTGCAGGCCCAGGCCTTGGGCTGCCTTGACCTCCTCGAAGCCACAGGGCAGGCCGCACAGGAAGTCCTTCCGCTGCTTGCTGAGGCCCAGCCATAGGTAGAGCTCCAGCTTGGCCTGCACTGTCCAGCCCGCTGAGCCGAAGCCCCGCTTCCCAGGCAGCTGAGGGCGGGCATGGTGACCAGGAGCTTGACAGCTGCCAGGGCCCACAGGTGGTGGAAGGGCAGGGGACTGGGGAGGCCTTGCTCAGAGCTACCCTCACCCCTTCACAGCCACCCCAGTGAGCTGGGGGTAGAGGTGGGAGTAGAGGGGCTTGGGCCATCCTGTGTCCCTTCCCACCCCGCTCCAGCTCTTCTCTGAACACCCCCTACTGGAGGGCTCCACCCCATGGACTCAAGCCTGCCAGACCCAGGTGGAACAGCTGCTCCCTTCTGGAGACTGGCCCGCCTCGCTCTCGCCCCCTGGCGGAAGAGCGTCTTGACCTTGGCGCAGTCCTTGCCGGTCTCTTCCTCCACGATGGAGAAGAGCAGGTCCTTGGAGGGCACCCGGGCGTAGGCGATGCGCTTGTTGTTGCTCATCATCCAGATGAAGATGTCGGGGATGCTGTGCTGAGGCTGCGGTGGCAGCAGGGGGCAGAAGGTAAGGGGGATCTGGCCTCGTAAGTGGAGCCCCCTGAACCCAGCTGACCCTCGAGCCAGGCCTGAGAAGTGGGGGCTGCGGAGGGTGCGGAGGGAAAGCCCAAGGGCTGGAGCTCCTCCCCTCCCATGAGCGCAGCAGGAAGAGCACGCTGGCCCAGTCTGTCCCGAGAGTGGTCCGAATGCCAGCTCCTCCCGGGTCTGGGCCAGGCCGGTTCTGTGCGGTGCCCTCGGCGGCCGCTCACCTCGTCCGCCAGGAAACGCAGCTTCTGCAGGAAGTTCTGACACAGCCTCAGCTTGTCGCGCACCGTGTGCCGCTTCACCTGTGCGCGCAGGGCCTTGGCCTGCTGTCCCATGCTCTCCTGCGGAGAGGTGGGTAAGTGGGCTCAGCTCACCTCGGAGGCAGGTGCTCCCCTTCCACCGCCAGAGTCTCCCTGGACTCCCCCGGCTCCACGTCCTCACCAGCTCCCTCATGCAGGACTTGAGGCGCTCCCGGTCTAGCCTGGTGCGGGACGAGTGGCCCTGGTCCTTGTCAGCCAGGGAGAGGAAGCGGCTGCGGGTGGGAGCCGGGCTTAGGGGAGTTGCCCAGCTCCAGGAGGCCTGTAGATCCCTCCTCTCTACCCAGCCCTGGCCTGGTCCCCGCCATCTAGTCCCACCACGTCCTGCCCTGCCCGTGCATCTCACTAGCAGCCACAGCTGAGCTCCTCCAGGACGCCCCGCAGGCGACGCTCCGGGTAGGACTTCTCTGTTTTGATCATCTCCTGCACATCATTCAGGCCTTCTTCCTGCGAACCAGTGTGGGGGTGCATGCTGAGCCTTCCCCCTCAGCCTCCCCAATTGCCCACCCACCCCTGAGGGCAAATGAGGGAGCTAGGGGCCTGGACCTCTGACCAGGACCATCCCTTCCCCCTAGTGTCTGTTCATCATGAGAAAGCAACCAGTTTCCCAGGTTCTAGAACCTGGAGACCTCGGTGTTCATGGGCTGGAAGGAAGCAGCCACCCTGGTGGACCTCCGGGGCAGGGCAGAGCTCAGGGCGAGATAGGGGTGCCCGGTACAGGGAGAGACAGAGGGGTTAACCAGCTGCCTCCAGGACCCCCAGGCGGCCACTCCAGAATCCTGGGGCCCGGGGCAGGT